TCATTAAATATGTATAACCCACTCTTAATCTGATTTCTATTATATACTGACTTTTGTACTTTATATAATTCTTTTTTAAACTTCATTCCACATTTTTTGCCATTTTTCCATTTCTTTACTCTTAATAACTGATTTCCCTTCCCCCTTCCCAAAAGGACTTTTTAAACAATCGTCTCTGCTCTGTGATTGGTCAGTTTCATTTAAAGGCGGGTAGTAGTTGGGGTTTTGACCAATCAGAAAGACGGAATACTTCCTGATTCTGCTTGATGGTTTCCAGCTAGCATAACAAAATGTAAAGTATATTCTTATTTATATACATATATATAAAAAAAAAGACCCTTCTGTTGTATATAGTAGCTGTCGGAACATGAACGGTTACCAGTTCAAATTGTGCTGTTGTATCCGTAATGGTTTTTTCATTTTAGTTAGTCGATATGTTAGCAGTTAGCAGACGCTGCTTTCAGCGATGCTAAGCTTCGGGTTGTAAATAATGGAGATGCGCGCGCAGCTTCGTCTGAACTAAGAGGAAATAAAAGAACCAAAGCAAAACAAAAGGAATCCAACTAAAAGCATGTATCAATGTTTGCTTTATTGGCAGTTTTAACTCTGAGGCTTTTACTCGACAGATTAATCAAAGGTCGGAAACTATTTGGAATCCATTAAATGAATGAGAGGAAAGCTTTAAAGAAAAGTTAAACAGGCAATACTTTTGTGCTTCAGGTTTTCCTTTAGTAATAACGCTACATAACAATGGAAAATTACATTACTTGAAGATATATTTCACCTTTCCACTAAACACCTGCATTTAAGTACATTAGTTTGCAGAAATAATGGAAAAATGTGAAAATGTAGTAGGATATAATTTCAGTTTTGCGAGGTTTTCTGTTCTACACTTTTTATTATTAATTTATTGCTGCATTTTGGTCAAAAAAAGGTTTTAAATTAGTTTTTCAATTAGGAGCAGAACCTTAAAGTAACGCAGGTTGTAGGAGAAACCTGCATAGACTGGTTTATTTCCACAGATACTGGATGTTCTGTAAAAACTTTTATACAATGACCTGTGTGAAAACCAAATATATCTTACATTTAGCAGAATTTAGCATTTTATAATAATAAGACAATACTGGAACTGATTCCAACTCAAGTGTAAAAGGAAAACATAGATTTGATTAGATTTGTGTTATTGTTTTAAAGCTTGCATAAAATTATGCAAGCTTAAAACAATAACTATCAAGATGCACTCATTCACATTTTCAATGTAATTTTTATTGTTAGATTTCTACAAAGGAAACTTTTCAGTTCTTTAAATATACATTAACTTTAAACTGCCTAAACTAGTGGATAAAAATTTTGTCGATTTATCCATACTTTGTTTCACTGTTTACTGCTGAGAAATCAGGGAGAAAAGAAAAATGATTTATTTTTCTGCTGGATTTTCTTTTTATATTTGAAATCTAGCTGGAAATTTCTTTTTCTTTTAGTCCCCACCTCATTTAGGGCCCTTAGAATATTTCTAACTCCCCCCCCCAATACGGAGCCCCTGGGTTAAACTCTCCTTTATTGGATGAGGAATATGATTTATAACCCGTATAATCGGATGTTTTCCCTCAGAGCTGGAAATCTATAACGGAGTATTAGGGCCAGGCTAGAGATTTTTTTTATTTTTTTTTATTATGAGAATAAAGTCATAAAATTACAATAATGAGGTGGTAATATTTCGATAATAAAGTCCTAATATTAAGAGAATGAAGTCATCATACAACAACCAGTTTCAGAAAGAAAGCTTGGAGCTCCGCCCAGCAGATGACGGACGATCAGCTCCACCAATCAGCAACCAGAGTCCACTTTGACATCCTGCCCAGTTTGATGCTGCTG